TTTCCATGTTAGTTCGGGGGAGTGTAGTAGAATCAGGGTATATAGGGGGTAAAATCATCAGGGCATTTCGTGACATATAATGTTTAGGGTTAAGGAACTTAATCTAAGTTACTCTATTGGGTAAGCCATATTGATTACAATATATACCCATTACGGTAACTTAAACTGAGTTCCTTAACAGCAACCCAGTAATTTAGAAGCCTCAGCAGGTCCCCTACTGCCAACGTAACCCATGCTAGGCCCCTTTGAAAAGGATGCACATTCATTTGGCAGACTTTGGGAGTACCTTTTAGGATCCCGAAAGTAAGGACTATAATATACTGGGTTTTAGATTGGGGTACTCTAATTTTGAGAAGTCCCATTTTAGAATTATGGGTACTTTTTGGGGGGTCCCACTAATTAGGCTTATAGTATTTCGGGATCTGTATTGGGGTCCCCTTATTTAGGGAAATACCAAGTCCTATTTTGGAGAAGTGCTCGCCCACAAGTGGTCCGGGGGCGTTGGAAAAGCCAACGATGGCCATCACCGGAATAGCCTTCGGATGCTTTGTTTCCCATGGCTCCTGTCGGGACCAGGGTTTACGGTTTAGGGATTCCTAAACCCTAAACCGTAAACCTTAAACCCTAAACCCTTTAGGGGGTCCATGTGCAAGGTTTGTTAGAGCATGTTCTGGAGCTTGCGCTCAAGTTCAAGCCTCTCTTACTGAGATCTTGACATTTAGGCCAGCAGGTTCTTACTGTAAGCTTTGAAGTCTAAACGGTGCCATTACGAGGTGGGGGCTTCTTCTCTTTTATGGGTCCCTTGGTGGGCCCCGTTAATCAGCCTCCTAAGGGCTTGAGGATGGGCCGGGGCCCCGCTTTTGACAAGTACATCCATCGTCTGTTACTGTGTGCCTCCCTTGAGGGTTTAGGGTTGGGGGCTCCTCGATCTTCAGCACGACTGTGCACCAAAGCGCAAGATACGCCAGCATTGACCTGAAGGCATACTGTAAGGGCCTAGTTAATTACCACTATCATTGTGAGATGTATTTAAGGCACCCTGGAACGTGATCATACCATGAGGAGGAAAGAAGGCAGGCGACATTTTCAGCAAGGTCTGCCAAGCTTTGCGCTCCATGTACGTGAGGGTGCTAGTCTCAATGGGGGCTAGTAGAAAACAATGAATACAACCCCTATATAATTAATCCCTGTGTAATGTATTCCCTTATTCCCTACTAACCCCCGGTAAGTAGCGCTTGCCCTACTTCTGAAATCTGACCCCCATATCACCGCTCAGGGTATACTTGGAGGGTCAGGGGGGCCAAATAAGTAGGTTCACAACCCCTATAACCCATAGAATGACCCTAAAACTGGTGTGCTTCTTGACGTGCACAAAGGTTCGCCTGAATCCAAACACTAGAACACTAAAGAACGGCCTGGAAATCCTGGTCTCCTCATGTGAGCTAGAGTCTAAACTCCTTAAAGGGGGTACATAAGGGATTATATAGGGGAATTACCGGGGTTACTAAGGGGAATTCTAGAAAAAATGGATTTTCGCTCATGTGATTGAAGTCACCCTTGTCTGATCTGACCATCCTAGTCCACCCATGCAGGCTACGTATCTTCTAGCCACCACCTATAGTCCCCCTTAAGTAGATAGAATATGGCTTTGGGCATTTTGGAATTAGATCCCCATATACCCTATACTATATCTACTTAAGGGGGACTATAGGTGTTCAATCATGCATGTCAAGTTGCCCGTGCTTGAAAGCATGCATTAATAGCCAAACAGCAAGCGAGCTTGCCTTCTCCTAACTAAAGCGCATTGGAACAGGATAGCATCACAGGAGCCATAGCCTAAACTCCTAGTATCCCCCTTAGTAACCCCTGTAATCCTCCCGTACTTAATCCCCTACAAAACCACCTTTAAGGAGTTTAGACTCTAGTTCATATGCAGGCGTGAAGCAGGGAACCCCACGGACTCCTAGGTAACCAGTTTCTTTGACGAGCAGCATGTTAAAAGCGAGGCATGCGAAGGCTAAGTAGAAGTAGGTGCGGTTCACCAGGGGCGACTCCCACATGACGCCTTGGCTTGGGTTTAGGTTTGTGGGGTGCAGGGTATAGGGATTAGGGTTCCCTGAGATGAATGCTACCTGCTGTTCTGCTTCAGGTCCCTTCGGCCATGTTTGATTGTAATCCGGAACGATGTCTCGGGGATCCCTTGACCAGCCCGCCTGTACCACCCGGGTCCCAACGGTAGTATAGTGGGGGGTAGCGGGGGAATCCGCGGTGAAAGAGGGTAAGTCAGGGAATTGGACCTGCTCTAGACAGTGCTAGGCGAGCGCCTAGCAAGCCCCTGCACCCTAGTGAGCTCTTACTCTTACTAGGTTGCCGGATGCTTTCACACATTGCCAAGTGCTCACTTTGCACTCGCTGAGATTTCCGCTCTTGCAGAGGAGTGGAGGGAGGGTCGGGGGGGTTGCGGGGGTGGGGTCTTCATGGGTAAGGCACAGTGACTGCTGGTGGCTGAAAGCCTCTTTCCAACGGCCAGTTCTAGCGCTATCCACAATAGAAATCTTAGCAATCTTTGCGAGACTATACGGTCCGCGAACCTTCTTGCCTTCCCAAAATTTCGCGTCCATGTGCAGTCATTAGGGGTAGGGCCAGCGAGGCTCAGGGACATCCATGCTGTTGAAAGTTTTCTAAGAGTAATCGCTCCTAGAAGTCCTTCTACGACTACAGGGCCCTGAGATTGGAAACGCTCCTCCCCTTCCCCCCCCCACCCCCACACTTGATTGCACAGCATGTGCCGCAGCACTGGCCCTACACCTACACTGCAAGCTGCATGCTTCAGGAGAGTGATTTGACTCGAGCGTGAAGTCTCCGAGGAGGCAAAACATGATATGAGCCATAGTCTAAACTCCTTAAAGGGGGTTATATAGGGATTATATAGGGGACTACTATAGGGGTTATTAAGGGGGATACTAGGAGTTTAGACTATAGCTCATATGAAGTGAAGCTTAACCAACTTGCCAAGGATGCGCAGCAATCCAGCCAATGGCCCTCCCAATGCATCCCAGGCACGGAAGAAGTTGGTGTAGTAGATAGTGAAGCAGGCCAGTGAGACCCAAAAGGCTGCTGTCAGCTTCCGCCAAGCCCATCTCAGTCTGCGAACCTAAGACCAAAAGCATCCTGGAGTCATCTCAAGTTCCTCTGCCGCTCAGCGCTGCTCAGCACAAACCCCTATCACGAAAAGAAAGTCTGAGATCAGCATCCCTTCGATTCCTCTTTGTGCACCTCCAATAGGCTAGCTATAGTGTCCTGATGGTGATTTAGGTGTGGCGGCGGCGGCGGTGGCTGTGGCTCTGATGCTACGGTGATGGTGCGGGGCGAACTGCGGCGGAGTTGTTGTCGCTGCCGAAGCGGCAGTGGCAGCGGCTGCGGTGTTGGTGAGCGGAGCATTTCTTTTCGAATCACAATTGGTTGCCGAAGCAGGGTGTGACACTTGTATCCAAACTTGTGTCAAAGCACCCACTTCTTCTTGGCAATCTCCCTTTCGCTCAGCTTCGACTCATCTTCTGTTTCCTGACGAAGAGCTGTCTCCGGGTCACCAAAATCTTGCACCATTATGTAGGTCCGAGCAGTCGGGGAGGGGGGGCAAATTCGAAAGCCGCTCTGCTAGACATGTTGCACCTAACACTCGACAGAAACGCCTGATAATTTCAACACAAAGCAGCAAGATTGCATGCACCAAGCTCCTTTGGCGTCTGTGTTGCAAGAGTCAAATTCATCATGCACGTCTTCGTTGCAACCCTCTCGAACCACCCAACACTAAGGTTGGAACTATTGCCAGAATCAAAACTGGGTGACTAGGGTTGAGAACCCCCCTTTTGATTCACGGTTTAGGGTTTAGGGTTTAGGGTCGAAGTCCCAGAAAGGATTGCCTTCGGTTTGATCAAGTCATGTTAGCAGCCCTCACCTAAGCCCCACAGCAAAAAGCCCCAACACTTGAACATGGAAGCCTCAGCCCCAAACCTGAAGCCTCAAGCCTAAACCTTGAAACTACTTGTCTAGGGTTTAGGGTTTGGTTAGCAAGGAATGAGAAAGCATGGAAAAATGGTAATTTCCCAAAATAGGGGGACCCCAATATAGACCCTACAATACGATAGTCCTCATTATGGGACCCCTACTTCTGGGAAACCCTACATACTATAAAACTTACATAACCTCAATTGCCATTCCATGGTCCATTTTCCAATTCTCTATTCTTAGGGAAATATCCCTAAACTGTAACCCCGAAGCCCTCAAATAGAGACCAAAGGTTAGGATGGTCCCTAAACCCTAAGTTTAGGGTTTAGGTTTTAGGGTTTGGGGGTTTAGGGTTTAGGGTCTTAGGGTTTTGGGTCTAAACCCTATAGTACTTTCCCGCCAGGGTTCCGAGTCAGTATCCGCTTGTGCCTTCCGGGCTCGCAGCCCAGGATTGGCGTCGCTCTGCGAGAGCTTCCCTGGGGCAAAAGCTTGGGTTTTAGGGGTTTAGGGCTTAGGTTTTGAAGGTTTAGGATTTAAGGTTTAGGTATTTGGGGTTTAGGGGTTGAGGGCTTCAGGGGTTGGGCTTTGGGATTTCAAGCCATGCATTGCCCTGCTGGACAAGGGCAATATCAAGTTTTGCATGCCGGGAAAACCCCAAATCCTAAACCCCAAACGTTTTAGACCCCAAACCCCAAACCCTATACCTCAAACCCCCAAACCGCAAAGGCTGCCCAAAATTGAAGCGTATTCCCCCATATCTTACCTCTGGCTAGCAGGCAACTGGAGTATGGATACATAGGGGTTATATAAGGCTATATAGGGGGTATATAGGGTGAAATCTATAGGAACTACTATAATAAGGAACCATCCCTTCATTCCAAAGAACTCTGACCTTAGTTTAGGACCTGCCTAACAACAACTCCTAAATTGGTTCTCATGCTGCTCCAAAGGCCACACATACTTGGAGGGCCAGAGGGACCTAGTAAGTAGGTTCAAAAGGGGGATAACTTGGGTTACTACATGGGTTATAGGGACTATGAGCCTACTTACTAAGTCCCCCTGACTCTCCAAGTAGGGACCATGCGGGACTCAGACTTAAGCTTATAGTGGAGCTGCCAAGGCCTCAAATACATATGGGCGGTTGTCAAAATTGTGGTCCCTTTTTGGGTACCCTAAATATTAGGTGCCGTATTATAATAGGGATCCAAAAGGGACCATAATTTTGACAACCACCCATATCTGGGTAATCGCACATCCAGAGTCAAATCCTAATTGCGGAATGTGCGCGTTTCGCCAACACCATATCTGCATGCATCAAAACTGCCATCTGCTGGCCTAAGCACGCCCCCCTGCCCATGATAGCTCACAAGTAGGGACCCCCAATTCTGCTCAAGTAGAATGAGCAAGTTCATACTATGAGCAGGCTTACACCCCGTGCTGCCACCCCAACAGCTTATAAAAGGGATATCTGAGCTCCCAACCGTACTTTTGCGCTTTGGCCGGCATCGCTCCGTGCTTCATGGGAACAAGCTGGGAGCCAAAGACCACCAAACGGTTTTTTTCTCGCAAATTAGGGATCTCTGTCTTAGGGTCCCAATAGGAAGGATTATAGAATATTGGGATCTATACTAGGGCCTGAATTTACGGAAAGTACCAACTCACAGACACGCCCACCCTGAGTAGCTCAGGGTCTTGAAGCTATCCCCAAGAGTGTCAGGGCCGCTCATGCCGAGAATCGGAATCGCTTCAAGCCCTGCTCAACTGTTTTTAATTTACCAATGTACTCTAGTATACCGTAATATACGATAATATGCCATAATATACTATAATCTACTACAATATACTATAATAAACTAAACCCTAAACCGCGCTCATCAAGGCCCATCTCGGCCTGTAGACATGGAAGCAAACAAGTTCCTGCCAGACAGATGCGGCTAGGAACACTCAGCAAGAGTCTATGATTACGATGCATGGAGTGGCCTGACCTGAGGAAGCCCCCAGCGCGGACCTGCCAATTTAGCTACACAGCTACCCTGATGACCCATAGGTCCTAGGCTTCTTCCATCTCCTCCCGAACTCTTGTATTATCTCTAAGGGATTTGGAACCCCAGTAGAAATTACAATTTCAGCTAAATATTAGGATTCTAGGTAACAGAAATCTAAAATTATTTTCAGGAACCTTGTAGTTATTCCAACTGTATCATCCGGTTTCTACTCAGAGAGCCATCCGGGCAATTTCGGAATTTACATTGCGCGATCTGCAACTGCCGCCTGAAGAAGTCAAAGGACCTGAACCATCGGTTATCAGTCAACCCCTTCCACCCTCAACTGCAATTTTCCGAGGCTACTCCCTAAAAATGGCAGGTTGCCCAAAATTATGGGAACTACCAAATCCTTCTCCTTGAATGCACATACCCTGGACTGTGCCCAAGACCCGAGTCACGTAACACTCTGTCCTTAGTATACCTCAACCCCAATGACTCCTGGTTTCTGCGTAAACAGCCTAAAATCTGTAGCCTATCCCAACCCCTAAACCCTAAACATAGCCCTAGGCCCGCAGAGTTTCATCTAAGCCTGCGGCACAGGGTCGGTCACTAGTACGCTGCAGCCGGCATGGGGCGTTTCGCCAGCACCTGCCTTGCAGCCAGCTCAACCAGAATCATTAACAAACATATTTGGGTTTTTTCCAGACTTTAGGTGGTCCCGAGAAAAAGGATTACATTTCTTGGGGTCCCATATTAAGAATATCGGCCCCCCCATGCTTATGGAACACTACCATTTTTCTACTGCTATCGCGAGGCTATTCGATCAAACATTCCATCTATTCAGGGAAAAAGGATCCCTTTTCAACCCTAAACCCTAAACCCGGGAAGCCATGGTCACCCACCTTTTTCAGGCCACGTACTTCCCCAAACCCGAAGCCCTAAACCCTATGTCAGTGGGGTTGTAACTAGGGTAACTAGAGTGACAGCCTTGCTTGGGGTACTTATGGCTACTCCCCAAGGAAACCAATACCCCTAAGATGAGAAATATAGCTCAAGTCAGAATAGTGATCCC